GGACGGCCACCATGCATGGGGGCCGCATGTGACCAGAGCAGGAGAGGCACTACGCTCCCTGAAATTTAGGGATGAGGCACATCCCTCACTCAGCCCATGAGCCACCCCTGCCACTCTAAGCAAGGAATGAAAGGTTAGCTACCTTTTGCCAACAGCTTAACAAGCTAAGACATCACAAATAACAAAGAGTGAATGTGTGAACTGTTCCTGAGAATGCGAGGGAGAGACTGGTAATGGGTGCATTTCCCCTGTGAATCACTTCTCCTCTAAAGAGTGGGCATCTTTGTATACATGACATTCACATACATGTTGTGCCTTTGCTGCTCCCACTTTGTTAGCTGGGGCAGGCAGAGAGAAGGCCCTGTGGCACTGCTGCCCAGTTCTGCCGTTCTTAGTCATCTGCTGCTCAAAGGTGCCTCTCTGACTCAGGATGGACCCGGCCCTGGTGCCCTTCGAAGTTGCTCACTGACAACTATTAATGGATCTTAGCTCCAGCAAGCATCCTCTCCAGTGTCTACAGGTCCCTCACAGGCAATCACATTGAAGACAATTTGGAGATACTATTAATCGAAAGGCTTAGCAAAATAAGTAATCATCAGTTAATATAAGGGCTCCCAGCACCTTACTTTTCTGAATTTATTAATTTTATTGTTGAGAATCTGTGATTGTAAATAAAATATGAACACCATTTTCTTTCTCTGTTGGATGTAAAACATTTTCCGCAATGGACCAGCTTCTAAGTGAAGCAAGCTAGTGTATTTCATGCAACATGAACCACAGGGAGGATATCTGAGGGGGAAATAGTATAATTAAAATATTTCCTTCCTTCCTTCCTCTCTCTCTCTCTCTCTCTCTCTCTGTCTCTCTCTCTCTCCAGGTTGCTGGATTAAATAGACAGTTGGACTGATCTAGCAGCATTTTTTTACGTCCTTAGGTAAGTACAAGGAAGATTGTAAGAGCCAATATTAATGACATTTAGTTATACACACAATCTATCACACACTATGTTCCCCCTTTCACTGAGATCCAAGCAATACATTCCAGAGAGTCCACCAATAGAGTGGAAATAATAGCTCTAATGATGAGAGAAGCTCGGGGTTTGGGATAATCCAATGTCTTCAGCTGTTAAGAAATTCCCTCTTTGAATGAGGGTTTCTCTGAAACCTATATTTAACCCTGAAACAGTGAATGAGAGAGACAGTGAGTGAAAGTGCAACCCTGGGCAAAGAAGAACGAATTGCTTCAGTCAGGAGGAGGATGTGCAGCAGTTCACACCTAAGTACCATTTGACCAAATATATTCCAAAACCAGTTAAAAGGATTGAACGGTCTAGTACAAATACTTGGTTCTTGAGAAGGTTCCCTTGTGACATTTCATTGAGGATGGACACTGAAGAACTGCGAAGGAAAAGGAACGGGCAGAGTGACTACAGCTGCGACTACAGGGATAAATCCTGCAGGATTTGCTGCAGGTGCAAAACAGATGAGTTCGCACTTCTCTTGATGGATCGCATGATGCAAAGGCCGGTTCCGATCAGATCAGCCCTTTTTGCCCTTGACATGGAGTCTTTTACTTTTCTCAGTTGCTTCTCAGAACAATTCAAATGGACCCCCCCCACACAAACACACACACAAGTTTTATCCATTGTTCAGTTCTCCAGAAGGATGTGGGTGCTTAACTGTGGGTGATTTTCTAGTGACATACTAAGCTATGCATGATGTTTTGGACAGAAGGAACACCAACACCCATGATCTTTCTTGCTAGTTGTCACAATGCAAGACTGATATAGATCACCTTATTGCTGTGTTGATACACTGGTTTATCATAGATAACCTCTGCAGAGACAAAAAAAGAAAAAGAAATAAAATGTGTATGAAACAGAAACAACTCCAATGAATTAGAGCAGGCTACCATGTTTCTGCCATATGTGTGGATGTGTTTGTATGTTGTGGAGAACGTTGGACATTTTTCCTTTTCCCTAACACCATGCAACATTTTAAACAGCCCACTGGCTTCTCAATGAACCATAGAAGGAGAGCCAGGGATCAGCAGAGGGCAGGATCAATAGGGCTGCGGGCTGTTGTGCAAATCAAACCACATCAGACTGAGGGGCCAGTGTGGACACTGGCACCAAAACAATCCACAGCCTCCATGTGATCTCCCACTCCAAGCAGAAGCGTAAAATAGGCTGGGAATCAAGCAAATTGGCTTGCCGGTGGCCTTGGAAATTCATCGGAGGGTGGCAATGGTCAAGCTCTCCTAAGCATCTCAGACATCTTGACAACCCCGTGAGAGTCACAGAAGTGACTCAGTAGTAGGTGTGCCAGCAACCACGGAGAAGGATATATTTGCTGCCATCTTTTGGGCAATGAATGCATTTAACGTAAAGCCTGGGTTTGGCTTGTCTATGCATAGCAGGCTGTCACAGCAGCGAAGGTGCTCACGACCTGCTGGCATAATGGAAATATTTCCTCTTCCCAGATTCAAGTCAGTGTTCCAGACTAGCTCTTTACTCAAAAAAAATCTTAAACCATTGATCATTGTGCACTTTCCACAGCAAGTAATGACAGTAATAGCCAAGAGCCTTCTGGGTTACAGCAGAGTATTCAGAAATAAATATTTAGAAGTGGCTTAACATTGCTTTCCTCTGCACAGTTAAGGAAGATTTAGTTTGTGTCATTACTATTGTCTCTGAAAGATCCTCTGCCTTTGTCATCCTCCAGTCACTGCCTTTCCCTAATTTCTCTCCTCCTCTCCCATCATGACTGGAGCCGACAATCCTCTTCTGATGATGGAACCGTGATTCGCTCAAGAGGGCAGGCGTGTCTTTGTGTGGTCTCTCAGTTGTGACAATCCTGCCATGAGTGACCTTGCTAGAAGTCTAGGCTTATGATGGAGCCTGGCCCCTTGAGGGCATTGCTCTCAGCTTCTCATGTTCTCATGCTCCCATTATGCATAAAGCTATAAAATATCATTGAATCGTGTATATTCCAAGCATCTGTTTTCCCTTGAATTTCATACAGCACTTAATAATATTTCTCCATCAAACAGTCCATCATTAGTTTAGCAGTGCAATGTTTTTAATTTCTCCTTCTTCTTCTTCTTCTTCTTCTTCTTCTTCTTCTTCTTCTTCTTCTTCTTCT